TTGGAGAAATGTCTGTTCATGTCTTCTGCCCATTTCTTATTGGATTATTTGTTCTTTGGGTGTTGAGTTTGATAAGTTCTTTATAGATTTTGGATACTACTAGCCCTTTATCTGATATGTCATTTGCAAATATCTTCTCCAATTTTGTTGGTTGTCTTTTGGTTTTGTCAACTGTTTCCTTTGCTGTGCAAACGCTTTTATTTTGATGAAGCCCCAGTAGTTCCTTTTTGCTTTTGTATCCCTTGCCTTTGGAGACATGTCTAGCCAGAAGTTGCTGCAGCCCAGGTGGAAAAGGTTGCTGCCTGTGTTCTCCTCTAGGATTTTGATGGATTCCTGTCTCATATTTAGGTCTTTCATCCATTTTGAGTCTATTTTTATGAATGCTGTAAGGTGAGCATTTTTTCATCCATGTTCATTAGGGATATTGGTCTGTAATTATCCTTTTTGTGGGGGTCTTTGTCTGGTTTTGGGATCAAGGTAATGCTGGCCTCATAGAAAGAGTCTGGAAGTTTTCCTTCTATTTCTATTTTTTGAAACAGCTTCAGGAGAATAGGCATGATTTCTTCTTTAAATGTTTGGTAGAATTGCCTGGGAAGCCATCTGGCCCTGGGCTCTTGTTTGTTGGGAGATTTTTGATTACTGCTTCAATTTCCTTTCTGGTTATGGGTCTGTTCAGATTTTCTGTGTCTTCCTGTTTCAGTTTTGGTGGTTTATATGTCTCTAGGAAAGCATCCATTTCTTCCAGATTGCCTGGTTTGTTGGCATATAGTTGCTCATAATATATTCTAAAAATTGTATTTCTTTGGTGTTGGTTGTGATCTCTCCTCTTTCATTCATGATTTTATTAATTTGGGTCCTTTCTCTTTTCTTTTTGATAAGTCTGGCCAGGGGTTTATCAATCTTATTAATTCTCTCACAGAATCAGCTCCTAGTTTCGTTTGATCTGTTCTACTCTTCTTTTGGTTTCTATTTCATTGATTTCTGTTCTAATCTTTATTATTTCTCATCTCCTGATGGGTTTAGGCTTTATTTGCTGTTCTTTCTCCAGCTCCTTTAGGTGTATGTTTAGCTTGTGTTTGAGACTTTTCTCATTTTTTGAGAAAGGCTTGTATTGCTATGTTTTTCCCTCATAGGACCAACTTTGCTGCATCCCAAAGGTTTTGAATGGTTTTGTTTTCATTTTCATTTGTTTCCATGAATTTTTTTAATTCTTCTTTAATTACCTGGTTGACCCATTCATTCTTTAGTAGGATGCTCTTTAGTCTCCATGTATTTGAGTTCTTTCCAACTTTGCTCTTGTGATTGAGCTGGGTGGCTCAGTCGGTTAAGCGTCTGCCTTTGGCTCAGGTCATGATCCCAGGGTCCTGGGATCGAGTCCCACATCGGGCTCCCTGCTCGGCGGGAAGCCTGCTTCTCCCTCTCCCATTCCCCTGCTTATGTTCCCTCTCTCACTGTCTCTGTCTCTCTGTCAATTAAATAAATAAATAAAATCTTTAAAAAAATAGAAGGCAACTGTCTTAAAAAAAAAAGATTTAAAAAAGGAGTTCATAAAATTAATTCGTTGAAAAAGGTAAGAAAAAAAATTAAAGTTGAAAGACTAAAGGATCGTGGTAAAAAAGCCATGAATTCTCTGTGCAGTATTCCCCTAGCGCTGGAGTTCTCCCGTTCTCATTGATCGGTAAACTTGGCCTTGGCTGGCTGTTCGTGCTGATCTTCTGGGGGAGGGGCCTGTTGCCGTGGTTCCCAAATGTCTTTGCCTGAGGCGGAATTGCCCCGACGGGGCTAAGTCATCTGCTCGGGTTTGCTCTCAAGAGCTTTTGTTCCCTGCAAGCTTTCAGCACAGGTTTGGAGGTCGAGAGTGAAATGGTGGCCTCCCAATCTCCGCCTCGGAGGAGCCGAGAACTCAGGGCCCCACTCCTCAGTGCGCCCCCAGAGAAAAACAGTCCATCACTCCCATCTCCCCGGTCTCCAGCTGCACTCCGCGCTCACCTGGCCTGTGACCGAGCATTTCTCTCTCAGGCACAGAACCCCATGT